CATGTTGAGTCACGTCTCTCTTGCTGCTTTCAAGATTCTTTCTTGATCTCTTGACAGTTTGATTTTAATGTGTCTTGGTATAGATCTCTTTCAGTTTGTATACTACATGGAATTTGTTGAAGTTCTTGGATATTGGCTTCATGTCTTTTTTCAGATTTGGTAAGTTTGAACATTATTTCTTCAAATACTCTTTTCTGTCCTTTCTGCTCTCTTCTGGGACTCCTGTTCATACTTAATATGCTTGATGGTGTTTAACAGGTCTTTTAGTCTGTGTTCATTTTTCTTCATTTGTCTCCTCAGACTGGATCATTTCAACAACTAACCTAGCTTCAAGTTCACTGATTCTTTTTTCTGCCTGTTCTCCTGTCAAGCCTCTGTAGTGACTTTTCCAATTATTATTATATTATTATAATTTCAATGGATTCATTTTAAGATCATTATATTTTTCAACATCAAAATTTATATTTGACTCCATTTCATAATTTTTTAAAGTTATACTTTAAGTTGTGGCATACATGTGCAAAACGTGCAGGTTTGTTACAGAGGTATACACGTGCCATGGTGGTTTGCTGCATCCATCAACCCGTCATCTACACTGGGTATTTTTCCTAACGCTATCCCTCCCTTAGTCTCTCATCCCGACAGGCCCCGGTGTGTGATGTTCCCCTCCCTGTGTCCATGGGTTCTCATTGTCCAGCTCCTGGGTTTCTGTTCCTGTGTTAGTTAGCTGAGAATGATGGTTTCCAGCTTCATCCATGTCCCTGCAAAGGACATGAACTCATCCTTTCATCTTTTTATGGCTGCATAGCATTCCATGGTGTATGTGTCACATTTCCTTTATCCAGTCTATCATTGATGGGCATTTGGGTTGGTTCCAAGTCTTTGCTATTATGAACAGTGCTGCAATAAACATACCTGTGCATGTGTCTTTATAGTAGATTGATTTATAATCCTTTGGGTATATACCCAGTAATGGGATTGGTGGGTCAAATGGTATTTCTGATTCTAGATCCTTGAGGAATCACCACACTGTCTTCCACAGTGGTTGAACTAATTTACACTCCCACCAACAGTGTAAAAGCATTCCTATTTCTCCACATCCTCTCTAGCATCTGTTTCCTTTTCAATGATTGCCATTCTAACTGGCGAGAGATGGTATCTCATTGTGGTTTTAATTTGCATCTCTCTAATGCCCAGTGATGATGAGCTTTCTTGAATGTTTACTGGCCGCATAAATGTCTTCTTTTGAAATGTCTGTTCATGTCTTTTGCCCACTTTTTGATGGGGTTTTCTCTTGTAAATTTAAGTTCTTTGTAGATTCTGGATTATTAGCCCTTTGTCAGATGGATAGATTGCACATATTTTTTTTCCCATTCTGTAGGTTGCCTTTTCACTCTGAGGATAGTTTCTTTTGCTGTGCAGAAGCTCTTTAGTTTAGATCCCCTTTGTCAATTTTGGCATTGGTTGCCATTGATTTTGGTGTTTTAGTCATGAAGGTTTTGCCCATGCCTGTGTCCTGAATGGTACTGCCTAGGTTTTCTTCTAGGGTTTTTATGGTTTCAGGTCTTACATTTAAGTCTTTAATCCACCTTCAGGTAATTTTTGTGTAAGGTGTAAGGAAGGGGCCCAGTTTCAGTCTTCTGCATATAGCTAGCCAGTTTTCCCAACACCATTTATTAAATAGGGAATCCTTTCCCCATTGTTTTTGTCAAGTTTGTCAAAGATCAGATGGTTGCTGACATGTGGCATTATTTTTGAGGTCTCTGTTCTGTTCCATTGGTCTGTATATCTGTTTTAGTACCAGTACCATGCTGTTTTTGGTTACTGTAGCTTTGTAGTATAGTTTGAAGTCAGGTAGAGTGATGCCTCCAGCTTTGTTCTTTTTTGCTTAAGATTGTCTTGGCTATGCAGGCTCCTTTTTGGTTCCACATAAAATTTAAAGTAGTTTCTTTCTAATTCTGTAAAGAAAGTCAGTGGTAGTATGATGGGGATAGCACTGAATCTATAAGTTACTTTAGGCAGTATGGCCATTTTCACAATACTAATTCATCCTATCCATGAGCATGGAATGTTTTTCCATTTGTGTCCTCTTATTTCCTTGAGCAGTGGTTTGTAGTTCTCCTTGAAGAGGTCCTTTACATCCCTTGTTAAGTTGTACTCCTAGGTATTTTATTCTCTTTGTGGCAATTGTGAATGGGAGTTCACTCATGATTTGGCTGTTTGTCACTGGTGTATACAAATGCTTGTGATTTTTGCACATTGAATTTGTATCCTGAGACTTTGAAGTTGCTTATCAGCTTAAGGGGATTTGAGGCTGAGACGGTGGGGTATTCTAAATATACAACCATGTCATCTGCAAACAGACAATGTGACTTCCTCTGTTCCTATCCTTTTTATAATTTTTATCTCTTTATTGATATTCTTTAATGATATATCATTGTTTCCTTTAGTTGTTTGTCCATGGTTTCTGTTAGCTCTTTGAATATGCTGAAGACATTAATGTCCTTGTCTAGCAAGTCCAGTGCCAGTGCTGCCTCAGGGTCAGTTTCTATTAATTTCTTTATTGTGAATAAGATGACTTTCTTGTATCTTTATATGCCTCAGTTTTTAAATTTTTATAAACTGGATAGCCTGAACATTATAATGTGGCAACTCTGGAAACTAGATTCTGCCCTCTCCCCAAGTTTTGCCATCATGGCTTGTTGTGAATTGCAGTTTGTGCAGTAGTGATTTGTTTAGTGACTTTTCTAAACTGTCACGTGTTGTCTGTGTAGTATCTATTCCATTAGCTTAGTGGTCAGTCAGTAGTTTGACAGAACTTTCCTTAAATACCTGGAGACAAAAGAAAAAAAAAGGATAAAAAGAAAACATACTCTCCCCACCTTTACAGACAGGTTCTCTATTGAGGAACTCCTTCAACACTTATCCAGGCTGTTTACAACTCTGTTTTAGTCTTCACTTCCTGTTTGGTCTGGGTGTAAATACTCGTATCAGCAAGAGGTGAAAGCTTAGAATCTTCTCAGGACTTTTCTGAACATGGATCCTGCCCTGGGTATGGGTACATCCTTCCAGAGTCCCTGTTATATGTAGGATTGTTTCCAAGTCCTTATTTTCCAAATTATTTCACTACCCAGCTTCTCTTTTCCAGGCTTTCAGTGTGTGGCTATTTGTCCCAACTGCAATCTCTTCTCCAGGCAGCAGTGGCTTGTTCATTTACTTTCAAGAAATCATTCTCAGCACAGTCAGTTTTTCACCTGGAGAGACTTCTGAGTTACATGAACCAAAGGCAAGCCCCTAGATAGGTCAAAGCGAACACCATTTCTTAAGAATGGGGTCTATTCTGGTCCCTCCAAAACCAGGAACCCACATAAGGAATGCAGGCTGCACTCTTCAAGACCATTCCTGACTGGGGAGGAAAGAGGGCAAATCAAGATAAAATGCCATTAAGCTATCCAGCTGAGTTTCAGCTGCCTTTTTAATTTAAGCAGTTGTTTGGTAAATTTTTTTTTTTTTAACCAAATTTCCAATAAGTTGGAGTCTGACAGGTTTTTTTCCCAGTTTTTCTAAGGATGGGTATGCACCTGGAGTTCCTTGTTGTCATTTTTCCTCACATCTATGCATAATATTTAATGGAAATAGATAGACGTTATCAACATTTGGGTAAATGTGACATGATTTTCCTATTAGGGCCAGAAGGTGAGATGCTTTGTTAAAACTTTATATAGTACTTGGGCCCTTGGTATGTGATATAAATATATGCATGTATTTCAGACATAGAGGAATATGGAAAATTCATCAATGGCAGATGCTCATGAATTATATCAGGGAATTTAGGAGCTAATGAATGCATACTTGTACCCTTTGAGTGTGAGTAGCTACAATGTTCATCCTCTACAATGTTCATAATGAGAGAAAACATTATTACATATATTGGTCTGATCCAATATAGTATATTGCTGGAGTATGAAGAAGACCTTGTTTTACTATTTTAAACTTAATGAGCTTTGTGGACTCTGAGAACATTGAGTCTTCAAGCGTCAATTCAAATATTTTGTCCCTAGATACTCCAGCTAATGTGTTTGCCCCAGTGACCAGTCCTTTTTAAAACACAATTTTTAATGTCATTGGTTGAAAAATATGTCATGCCTTATTTAGAATAACCACTCCCTTCATGTACCCTTAGGGAGGTTCTTGTGATAGCAAGAAAGGGAATACTTGTCAAACTCTATGGTTACAGCAACATCTAATCTCCCCAAATCACCATGCTTGCTGAATTGTAATTGACAAGGGATGTTACTTCATGTGTAAAAGAAAACCGCAGTAAGCACAAAATGCTACTGGGCTTACTCATGTGAATATCTAATGCCAGGAACAGTATATTGAGCAAAACGCAACAAGTTATTAATCAGATGTTATTATAAAATGAAACTCCTTTAGGTGGAATTTTATAATTAGGATTTTTCTCTCCACTGTAGTAGAAAAATAATTGTTAAACATATAATCAATTTTTATGACAGCCTGGAACACACAGTGAGTCTGGTTAAAAAATGACACTGGAGGATATAACATACCAGGTACAAATCAATTATTCAATTCTCATTGTTTAGCAAAGGTAAACACATCATAGGTATGTAATTTTGTGCATGTTACATTCTGTAAGCAAACTATGTGTTTGAGCCACTCTTCGCAATTCTGCCTAGAGCATTTTCCATTCAGTAATGACTTATACTGAGGCAGTATATTTTGCTCTAGAATCACTTCCCTAATGTAACAGTTGTCTATAGAGAAGCCACAGCTTTTTAAACCATGAAATTTTAATTTTAATTGCTCAATTAATTTTAAATGCTCAGAGGAAATTTTAAATGCTCATAGGAAATTACAAAACAGGAGCTAGAAAACGTTTACTAATATGGTATAGGAAAGTACTACTTATCTTAGTTATAGTGTCTGAGAATGACCTGACTTTGATATGATTAAAAGATTTACAGTGAGATTAGAGATAATTTGTAGTATCATTTAATCAGCTGCATATTAACTGCAAGATAATTCTGAGATTTAAGGATACAAACAAAAGTGATTATAATTAACACATGTTTAATACTTGTAAAATTTGACCTGAGATTCTCTGTGTAATCTCCAAAGTTTTGAGTAAAATGTAAAAAATCTGCAATGAATTAAGAATTACAGGTCAAGTTTTGGCTAGGGATAGGCAGTGAACAAATGACTAAGGTCATCTATTGCTTTTGCATAAATGTTATTCCAAAACTAAATTTATTCATCTTAGTACAAGAACTGGGAAAATTAATGTTATTTTTAGTAACAGATTTGGGATTATGACTATAAACTTAAAATTATGTGATTTTCACTGAATATTATGTTTTGAAAAGATGATACCATTCATCCTGCTAACATACTCACTGCCCTGGGATATAACTTGATAAACATGCCCCAGTAGGCCTCTGTATTTTCCATTCTTCATTGAAATTCATAGATTTAAATAAGTAAACTCAGTGGTTGTATACCTGTTTCTTGTTTGAGGCTATACAGCTGGAACTTGCAATGAAAACAATCCTCCATGGTCTATTATTCAAATGTTAATGAAAATTAGATAACAAACCTTAAAAAGAGAAAGCAAACACTGAACTGACTGAAGAACTGCTTTCTTAAAACCATAATTTGGGTAACTCCACAGAATATAAAAATCCCTATTTGAGAGTTCTAAGGCCTGGCTATAAACTTTATTTTCGGCTTTCAGCTTCCATCACTTCTGTAAGTCAGACAAAATTTACATTTCCTGACTAATTTACAAGGTTATTGTGAGGAAGAAATACCATAATTATGTGTAAGTGCTTTATAAACTAAAACAGGATGCAAACATAATAGTATGTTACACTCCTACATTTGTTTTCAAGAAAACTTCACTGAATCATTCACTAATCCTAGGATAATTCACCTTTTGTCTGGATTCGAGGATTGAGGCTTTGATGGAAAGCTGGTTCCATAAAACACATGAGGAAAATGGACATAGTGGGTTGTGACCTCGAAAATGGACATAGCGTGTTAAGTTTGCTCTTACTTGTAAGTCTGTATTCCCAGATGACATCTAAAGTTTGAGAATTAACTCCTAGTTGTGGTATGTTGCTTTTGTTGTCTGATGCCTTTGAAGCACACTGATCTAATGCATACTTACTTTAGATTCAGATCTCAAGAAGAAGCTCTAGGCCTTGGTTAGGCATCCAAATTATAGGTACCACTCATCCAGTTCCCTGTCCTATATACCTTTATCTAGTTAATAATAACAAAAGACTATTTATAACAGTGCACGTCCTTTATAACTGAAACTGCAGTAAGTTTAATTTTCAGTACATATTTTCATGCATTTGCTTTATCCCTGTACAATACTAAGAATCTTTAACATACATGCCATAGGTTTTCTTTACTAACATTGCAGTCCTTTACTAATGAGTAAACAGTTCTAAAACATGAATTCATAATTACATTGTCATTTATTTCAATCCTGTGGCACACACTGAATATAATAGGCTTGAAAAACACTTTGATATTTCCTTTGTAGAACACTAAATGCTACCATTGATTTCTATAAATTAAATTTACTAGGAAAACCCACAGTTTAAAAAAAGTACACAAGAATAAGCTAGCTGATCACAATCAAATGAATGAATTCAAAATAGTATAAAGTCAGGAACAGTTTATCTTCATGGTAAACATTCACTTTATGCAAATCCCACTTGGCTTCATTTAATTAAAAAGCTGAAAAAGAAAGAAAATTATTATGTGCTGAACATAAGGAAAATACAGTATGCTTTTTATTCCATTCTAAATTAGCACATGTAAATATAACATTAAAATGTCATAATTGTATTAATTCAGCTAATTGTAATTTTTACATCAGGGCAATTTTTCTGAACTCTAGTGCCTTTAACCAGATCGGGCTTAGGGTGGGAACAGGGTCAGGTGAGAGACGATGCTGAAAACTTTAATTTGTGGTTTAAATTTACATAAACATTCTTCTCACTGCTGGCTGGAGCAATAGTTAAATCAGCATTTTAAATGGTAATGTAGAAGAAATACAAGGGAATGGAGTGAAACAAACATGTGAAGGGGGTCATTTGAATGTCCTACAAATATTTTTTCTCTAAATGTATAATTTAATCACTTGGTCTTTTGTTAATATAATTTACAATTTCATCATATTGAACAACCAAAAAGAGTATACATAAATCATAAAAATTCTGATGAAACAGCAGAGATACTTGTACATATAATAGATAACTATTTTTTTTTAAACTTCCCTAAGCAAAGCTTTATGAAACAAAATTTAATTTTGTAAGATGGTAAATCAATTTAAGTAACATTTATGAAGTTTTTGTTTATATCTGTATCTTTCTGCTACCATGTGGCATGTTCTTTTTGAGTCTTGACAACACAGGACAACTTTGCAAGGCAACCAGAGACAAACCAATTTTTAATTAAATATGAAAGCAAAAATGAAATCAATAGTTCCTGTAGTTAAAAACAAAAAACAAAAAACAACAACAATAACAAAAAACATGTAGCTGGAAAAATGTCCAAAGTTGGTAAGTTTTATTATCTGGATGTTTAAATCATAATATCCTAGGCATAAATTGTTTTGTCTTTCTGAACCTCGGTTTCCTCATTAGTGAAAAGAACGTTTGTTTTGGATGATTCCCAAAGTTCTTTTCGGTGCTAGTATTTTAGGATTCTGGTGATACTATGTGCAAAAATAAATACATATTTTAAAATACAACACTTTAGTATAAAACATAAAATATATATAATATATATTTAAATTATATAATATACAGTGTATATTATATAGCATCAATTAAAATGTAAATAACGTCATAGCACAGTAAAAACCAGAAAAATTACTCTTCTTAGCTGTTTCTGAGAAATTGTTAAATTAGAAGATAAAAATGATATGATGCTATCAGGACGCAATGAGACATCACCTCTACTTTCAAGATAAGAAGTAATGAATAAAGCGTACTATAAGGGTGACCATCTCCATGAAGAAGAATGTCAGCAGTAAACCTCGTCAGGGTCTTAAGCTGTAGTTGCTGTTCAATCCACATGATCCTTACAAACACTGCTGGTAAAGCAGATAGATGTGCCAGCTGTAGATTAATTGTGGCATTATGTTTTGAAAAGATAGCATTCATCCTGCTAGCGCACGCAAGCTATCATCAGCTTGCTCTGAAGATGAAGCTAACTGAAGAATGAGGGTTAATGAAAAAAGAAACCTTAATCATAAAATAAACTGATACTTAAAAGTAAGGATTTGTAGCTTTTTGTTGTTTAGTTTTTAAAGGATCTGCAATTTTCGAGTTATGGAGCACTAAAGATAATATTTATTATTGCTAACGATATTACCCCTGTGAAAGCAAAAATACTAATTTGATCCGTAATGGTAATTTTATACCTTTTAACTTTTTAGGAGTTTTATGATACTTAAGTATAATCAGAGTAAAAGGATCTCTGAGTACTTTATTAATATAATCTTTAGTTATGCTGTTTTTTTCATTTTATGGTTTTCAAAACTGAAATAGTAATTTTAAGCTGTTATAACAATCAGTTGTTTATATCATGAAATGACAAGTATATATTTAATCTGAAACTGATTAATTGTCCTACAATAGAGGATACATCTAACAAGTAGAGTACTTTCTATGGTTTTATTTTCAAAGCTATCATTTTCATTTTAAAATGTTATAAAAATGTCTTTATTTGTTCAAGACACTGGAAACACTTGAAGCACAAAAATGTCAAAAATGTTTGGCTGGTTCAAACGTTTCTGAGAAAAGTATGGACTGCTGTTCTCTAATCAGTATTTTAGGTTTCATTTTATTTTCATTATATAAACAATGTCCAAGGTATGTTCCAGTATGAATGTTTTATATTGATTATTATCACTCGAGAAATTAGTCTCTCATTTCTAATCAAGATCGGACGTGTATTTTTTCCCTTTTCACATTTATCTGTCTAATAATTTTGCTGCATAATCTAACAGTGTAATAGTTCTTACAGATTTATGGTTCAATAGTGCTTGGATATTGTTTTTTCTAATAATGCTTATCACAAAAATGTATAAATGCCTTTGTATCATACTTTTTAAAAAAAACTGTCAAGAATACTGAAAACAATGTATTCCCCTTATGTGTGCTTTTCAGTTTTGCGGTCTGCTTCCAGAGTGAGTGAGAAGCAGCCTTGGGTACCACCATCAACTTCTATATGGAGTCCGCTCTACTCTCAGTCATGAATGAATCGCACTGTAGTTATTCACAGTAGTAGTCAGCATGTGCATAGCACTGATTGCTGTGACTGGCTTATTTGCTTATTCTGAAGTGAATATATGCATGGTCAACTGTAACTCAGGTGGTAACAGATAATGGAAGCTAGTTGGCAAGAGTAGCAAGTTGCACACAAGGGATAAGATAGAAGGCTAGGACTAGCACAAATGTGACCTCAGAAGCTCCCACTTCCCCTAGCCTAAGGGAAGCAACCATTCCTTTCTAGTCTGTGTCACTTTATTGTTGCTTAAAGTCCATCAGGGATGCAGAGAGAGACTGTCTACACAAAGAAGGAATGGGATGACAACTTCAAACCATTTCTCTCTTTGAGGCTGGCTCTCTCCTCAACACTCCCTCATGGTAGAAAACCACGATTTAGATGAAAATATTGTCTTTGATGTGCTGAGGAGTCATATTCCATAGGTTTATTAGCAAGTTTATTACTTGAAATTCAAAATATTTTTCTAGAGAAACATGCAAGTGTTAAACTCGGGGCCCCCAGAAGTCTGTTTCAGTCAGCATTTAACAAGTATTGTGTACTAGAATTCTGTGCATAGAAGCGTGTTGCAGAAAATGAAATGATTGAAAGTCGTGGCCCTTATGTTTCTTTTAGCTAAAGGAGAGAAAGACCTGGGTATGATTAAGTATGATACAGTGACATGTTTGATATGATGATGGTGTTACAAGAATTGAAAAAGCAAAACTCTGAGAACAAGTAAGATAAAGGGACAGCAGCGTAGACCAAAGAAGCTGGATGGAGACAGGTATCAAAGTATGAGAACATACTCAGTGTTGTGTTCAGCATGGCTAGGCTAGGAGTTAGCACATTTTCTGTAAAGAGCCAGAAGGTCAAATATTTTAAACTTTGGTGGGCCACGGGTCTTTGCTGAAACCACTGAACTGAGCTGTTGTACAAAAGCAGCCACAGACAACACATAAAACAAACCTGGCTGCGTTTCCATGGAACTTTATTCATAGGCACTGAAATTTGTATTTCATAATTTTCATGTCACAAAATATTCTTTGTTGACTTCCCACCCCCCGATGATTTAAAACTGTAGAAGCCATTCTTAGTTTGTAGGATAAACGAACACAGACAGCAGTTACTGAGTCTTGTATTAAACCAGAGGGTGTACTGAAGGATATACCATAAAAAGCTGAATGGCATGAAAGTTAAAATAGTTGTGGCAATTCATACAATGGTATTACTATATAGCGAGTAAAATCATATATACTGTAGAATGTAGTTAACTGCACTGGAATATGCTCATGATGTATAAAAGAAAAATAAGCAGCTTACAAAATATGTACAGGCTAAACTGATGATAGTTGATGACCTGAGTGTTGGGATTTATGAATATATTTTCTTCACTTTGCTTATCTATCTGTATCTTCTAGAAGGAACATGTATTAGCTTTCCCCTCCTCCTTTTTATTAGCTATTAAGGAATTTTAATGAAGCAACATAATCAGTGCGTATCTTAAAACAATTCTGACACTACCGTACAATAACTGATGGATTATGGGGGATAATGACTAGACATTGGGAGACAATTTAGGAGGTTCGGTGATAGTCAGAAAAAGATACAACGTACTTAAGACAGCAACTGTGGGAAGAGAAAAGTAATGTAGACCAAATAACACAAAGCAGGATGAGGATGTGGGATGAGGACAAAATGACTCCAAGATTTCCGTCTTGCATGACTGTGAGAATGACAGTGTCAGGGAAAATGGGGAAAAGGAACAGAGAAACAGATTTGGAGGCAGATAATGATTTTTGAACATATTGAGGTGAACTGTTAATGTGATATTCAGGTCTGGTTCTGGATCTCAGGACAAAGGTCAGGAATTGATAATGTATATTTAGGACTGAGAAATAATCTCAAAGAAAAAAGGAAGGTGTAAGAAAGTCATGTTACAAAATCTAGGGTATAAACTTTCCAAGAGGGACTTGTCAACTAAAATGCTAGAAAGGTCACATGAAGAGAACTTTGGATTTGGTCACTGGTGGTTACTGGAGACTGAGGATATATCAAAAGCTTGTTTGTTGCTTTTCCCTTTCTGTGAAATATCTGAACAGGTAGCAAATAATGGCTTGCTGTTGGGTTTTTTTTTTTTTTTATGTTGAATTAATGACTCCATCTGTTTCTCATATTTGGAAAAACCAGAATGTACACAGTGTTCCGGAACAAATGTACTGTGTCCAAGTGGGAGTTGGTTAGATTCTAATATCTTCAGCTCAACAGAATTTTTCGGGGCACTGCTCTTCCTGTTCTCAAACTGGGGAGGAAGTCAGGGAGACCCAGTGGTTACACAATCTCATCTGTCTCACAGAAATCACTTATGTGGGTAAGGGGCAGTTGCTCAGATTTCATTTGGGATCCAAAAAAGTGCAAAGGGGAAAAAAGGTTTGGGTTGTTCACCAAACAGACAAGCCAGT